CCTGGCCTTACTACTAGGAGCAAGGACGCTACTAGGGGCTCCTGGCCGTACTACTAGTAACAAGGACGTTACTAGGAACAAGGCTTGGGTTTGTTTTTTTCATTTTTTTTCGCATGTGTTGCCCAGGCTCTTTCGCGATACCTAGGCTCCTCGGGCGACCTCCAGTCGCCTTTTTTAACTTGACATAGAATTACCTGGGAGATGTTTGTGCATCTGGTTTGTCACTAGTAGCGTCCTTGCTCCTAGTAGAATTACTAAATCACTCTCCCGAATGTGGAATCCATTCACCTCGGCGATGTGCGCAGAAACTGGTGAGAGGAAGCAAAATAATGACCCCCGAGGTCCCCTCGGGTTCCTTGCTTTGAGCAGATCATGTGGGGCTCCTGTTTTTGGACCCATTCAGACTTGTTGCTAGACCTACTCGCCATGGCCTCCAAGCTACCAGCGATGGCCTCCAACCTTAACCCAGGGACTCCATGGCAGTAACTCTTTTGGATTGATTTGTCCTTGCGAGATTTGTCGTGCAGGTGTTGGCCTTGTTTAGCATGCTGGGGCTTTTTATCACTCTTCCCTTTGCCCGGGCACTCAGAAAACATGGGCGTGTGAAGACACAGTCAAAGACACGGCCGACACAGACCTTGAAGAACTAACACCTTTGACCGTTGAACCCACCCAAGAAAACCTTTTAATCAGACCAGGCCGCGGCCTGCCAGTTTGTGTGTGTGTGTGTTCAACTGACAGGAGACTGGATTGGATGGTTTGAGATCCTGGTTGAGTGAGTCACCAAGCATATGGGTATAGACACCAAGGACTTTGTTGAGAATGCCATTTGCCAGCAACTTCAACGCTCCTTCAACGGAGTTTCGAGAACCTTTCACCCCACAGATCTCCCTGCTGAATTCGAGGTTGCTTGTCACCGGAACCACTTCGAATGCACAAGATATATAAGCGACATCTCTTGCAAGCACAACTTTTCGACGGACGAAAAGACGGGCAGCCGGAGGTGTGGCGCGTGGCGCGGCAACATGAGCTTTGCCGGGACGTCGCTGACTGGGCGGAGGAGGGGAGGATGCGGAGGGCCGTGCTGCGTCAATGCACTCGGGTGATTGATGGGCCCAAGTGGGACGAAGTGGTGCTGGTTACACTGGGCCACCCTGGAACTGGTGTGTGAACTGTGTATCGGGGCATCGTTTTTTGATGTGAAAAGAATGGACCTGAGACGCTGCCCTGGGAACCCAGGGTCGTTGTTTGGGGATAGGTCAAGACCAGCATATTGCATTGTTTGGCAGACTATCCGTAGTCTTTTTCTTGTTCGAAAAGGAGGTTCCCACTCGCTTTACCACATGAAACCTTACTGTAATCCTTTGTTGGACTCTTGGCAAGGAAGGGTATCTACTTTTCCTGAAGGCCAAAAGCGTGTCTCACGGCTTTTCCTGTTTTGAAACACCAGCGTCCATACTCAATTGGTGGGTCAAAACGTGTTAAGAACCAACACCCTTCTGGCTTAGTAGCTTCTTACTACTAGTAACTACTTTGCCTTGGCCAGAGCTCCCGCTTGCCACGTTCCGCGCCGCGCGGCACCGTGCCATGCTGCGCGCCATGCGATGCTGCGCGCCGCGTCAGGAAGCCTCCAAAGAAGCCATGAACGACGATGCGTGACTCGTCGTGAACGACGCATACTCTGCGTGAGTTCATGCTGAAGAAACATACTGTAGGCGAACCCAAAAAGCAACTCTAGCTGGTTGTAGGATTGGAATCTGCTCAAAGACAGGCAATTGGATGCAAATGGTTCATTTCGACCCTCCCCAGCTTCCACAAAGAGCACAGTAAAGGTAGGTCTGATGTTGTCTGATGTCGGGTGGTTGGGGAGAAAGACGAATAGCGTCCGTTCGTTCACGACCTTTGGGATTAGTGTGTGGCCATGGTTTAGGCCAGGAGCCCCGTTCGTAGCGTCCTTGCTCCTTGTAAGGCGAGGAGCCCCTAGACTCTTTATGTTCATGTGGTCCAAGAATGGGAGCACGCTCCTGAGGACATGGAAACCTGTGAAGACATGTGAAGACCAAAATGCCAAAGATGTCAAGTGAGGCCAGTGGAAAACGCGGACCACTGCGTTGATGCTATGCTTTAAGTATTGTAAGTTGCCACCTGCTCAGTGGAAGAATGGGTGAAGCTTGGTCTTTTGGGCGGTAAGCAAGCTGGGTCCAGGGGCAGCCAGCAAGCTGAGGCTATGAAAAGAATCCAAAAGGGACAAAAAAATCCGGTACAAAAGGTCTAAAGAACAGGAAAAGACAGACAAAAGATACAGAAAGAAAGACACTTAATAGCGATGGCCTCCAGCCTACTCCAAGCTACTAGCAATGGCCTCCAACCTACGTGCGATAGAGTGTCGGAGAGTGTGGATGTTGCGGGGTCCACAGCTTCCCCGATGACTTGTTTCAATTCTAATCAGATTCTAATTAAGCTTAGATTGAGTTCTATTGACTTCTTGTTCTAATAGCAAACACTGTTCCTAGTAGCGATGCCAGGAGCCCCGTGCGTAGCGATGCCCTTGGCTCCTGAGGCTCTACTCGGAGTCGGACGGCAGTTCGGGCGACTTCGACCGCCACGGCGACCGCGACTTCGGCCGGGCGGCCCGGGCGGCGTGTACGGCGTGAGGTGGTCTTGGTGGACGTTTCATCCAGAGAAGAAGACGATGAACAAAAGATGGATGTCTCTTGGTGCCTGCTCGTCCAGACCTTCATTGCGCCGAACGGGATTTTGCATTCGTTTCTCGGAATCCAAACGGGGGCATGTTCCACAACACCCGTTTGGACGACTTCGTGGAATTCCCGAACCGTTGAACCAGGCCAAAGGGTCCCGAACCATGTGGGTTTCTTTCGTTATGGGTTACTTTAGCCTCTCTATATGCACAGAATGGGCACAGAGTTCACATGTTCACATGTTCGATTTCGGCCGAAGTCGCCCTGCCTTCGGCCACTGCCTTCGTCCTTCGTCCGCAGATGAGCTGCCGCCTGAATGAGACGTGCTTCTGACCTGTTTGGACGGGGTTTGAGGATGACCGGGACCGGGAGATACTTGCCTAGTCCGTTTGCATCCAAATAGGTTCCCAGAGAAAACTGAGGTAGATACCAATGTAATTAGATGACATAAAGAAAGCTGAGAAGACTCATGAGATAATGATATCATGAGGTAGATACCACAAAGAAAACCGAGTCTTCTCTTGGTAGATCAAAGCACCACCATCCCTTTTGCTCGCGCCCGTGCACTCTGCGGTGGCCTTTAGGTCAGAGCGAGTCGGTCATCCTGGTACAACCGGTGACGCTCAACGCCACAAAAAGCACCGATCGGTGTCGCACGATGCGTTTTCATGTTACGGGATGTTACGGGAATCTTAAGTTTTTACCATGTTTCAGCTGACTTCACCGTGAACTCTCTTTTTTGGGCCTGTGGATTCTTCGCTCTTAGCTTGGAGGCCATCGCTAGAACGCTCTTGTGGACATGCTCTTGGATTCCTTGATGATTGATTCTCTCTAGGGCCTTTGTTGGGGTAGGGGCTCCTGGCATCGCTACTAGGAGCAAGGACGCAACAAACTTGTGCTTTGGCCGTCCGCGTGCGACCACATTCGCCGCTCGTGCCACTCGGGCATTGCTATAGGGCCTTTGTACTAGGAACAAGTGCATCGCTTCTAGTAACAAGTGCCTTACTAGTAGTAACAAGGATGCAACTAGGGGCTCCTGGCCTTACTACTAGGAACAAGAACGCTACTAGGGCATCGCTATAGGGCCTTTGTTGGGGTCTTCTTTCTGGCACTTGACCCCACCCGTCGGTCGTGGCACTTGATCCTCGCACGCTGCCTCGGTGCACGTCTCCAGGCGCGGTGAGGGAGACGTGGTGAGTGACGGGTCGGAAGATCAGAGGAACTCAGTCAGCATCCTTGCAGTAACAAGTGCATCGCTAGTAGTAACAGGTGCCTTACTACTAGTAACAAGAAGCTAGTAGAATTAAATTAACTAATAGCTTCTTGTTCCTTAGTAGCGATGCCAGGAGCCCCTAGTAGCGTTCTTGTTCCTAGTAGCAAGAATGCTTCGTTCGTAGCGATGCCCCTTGTTGCTAGTAGTAAGGCCAGGAGCCCCTAGTCAGCTTCCGTGTGGCGTGGGAAACGAAGAGACCAAGATCGATCGCCAGAGTACTGTACCAGGTCGGAGGCATGTTTGTTTGTCCAACAGAAACCCCTGGCATGGTCTGTCAGCTTCCAGAACTTTTGGCTTGTAGGTGGAGGTGCAGTAAAAACTAGAGCTCTCAATAATCCAACTTCCCGTCTTCCCGTTTCCTTTGCCTTATATATTTGCACCAATTGCCCGTTTTGGGGTCTTTAGTAAGGAGCTTTCAGCGCATTCATGTTTGTTCGGATTCAGACATTTCCCTGGTCAGTCGGAAGAACGTCAAACGATTGCAATGCTTTAGGTTGCTGGAGGCTTGGATTGGCAACTTGCTTTTTTAATGCATGGTAGGCCATAGTAGCCACACAATATGTGCGAAGTCCATCGAGCTGGAGTTCTCTGATGTTTGGAATCGCCATGAATCACCACAGGTGGTCTCTTAGGGTAGTTGCACAGTCCACAAGATCGGATCTCAATTCGACTTTGCATGTTCATGGAGAAAGCATGCCATGGTGTCGTATTCGTCGAACGAGTCTCTGGTTGGTCAGACATCTGAAAAAAAAAAAAAGTGTCGCTGCGGCGTGCATCGTCTGGAGCTCCGCATAGCTCCGCCTGCCTTTCCGAGTAGGGTATGAAGGAAACGTCACAAGCTTTCGGTGTCACCCGGTGTCATGGAAGGTGGGATGACCACCGGGTTTGGGTATCGGTATAGATTGTGTTTTATGATATTTGTATGATGATTGTATTTGGTTTGTTGCAAAGTGGTTGATGTGGAGTTTCACCACCTCTCACTCTGTTTGCACAACAAAGTGGTCACTTGTTCGGAGCGTTGGAATGTGGCTGGGTCTCTCGCTGGGTCTCCACCGAAACAGGAGCTCCTTCTTGTTTCGCAGGGACGGATAGGCCATAGTAGCCGCTAAGCTCAAGTGGCTAGGAGCGGCTACTAGTATCGGAGTCAGAGGCTTAAACTGATTCGGTTCCTTTGAGAAGACTGAATTGTGTTGTTTCCATGTTCGTTTGTCATAATTGTATCTTATCATGACTTGTGTCATTCTTCTTGTGCAGGGGCCCTAGTCTGAAATCATGCTCACTCTAGGTCCAGCAAATGGACAGTGTCCGAGAATTGAATACCGAACCAGTCGGTAAACTTCAGTGAACTGTCATGTCGTTTGGAAATGCTGAGGGGGTCATATATGGGGGTTATTGTGCATGTTTTGCCGGTTCATTGTCCTTGGAGAAGAGGAAAAAGGAAGCCTCCCGCACTGAATTGAATCTTTTTGAAACCACGGGAGTTCTGATCACGAAGCAGTCTCCTGCTAAAGCATTTACATGATGGCTTTGATGACTGTTTTGGGAAGAAGCCCACGTTCCTTTCATTGGAGGCCGTCGCTAGTAGATCTAGTAGATTGTAGCCTCTCGGTCAAGTACTGTTCGCGGCCTCTCTTTGGCTCGTGCAGCTGACACAAAGTCCGTTCCCACCGTCCACCGCACAACAGAAGTACCTGAGAGGTAGGGAAAAAGCATGAAAAAGCTTTGGGCTTTGGAAGCATGTGATGGGCGTTCTAGCGAATCTAGCACGTTTGCCAGCCGGGGAAAATGTTTCTTGCAACTCCACACCAACCCAACAGGCAACACCCAACAGGTATGACCATCTTTGAGCACGACAGGACCCCTCAAAATGATACTCAGCAGGCAAACACGCAGATAGCCAGACCGATACAGCCCGAAAACACCACAAAAACCGTTAAGATGCTCCGCTGCTGGCAGCGCGTGAACTCGACGACGCGCGGCAGCGACAGGCCGTGGACATGAAACATGAGTTGCACGGTTGAGTGTTGAGTGGACAAGTTGCGAAGAATCCATGGGAAAGGCTACTAAGGAGGCCATCGCTATTAGGTTGGAGGCCATCGCTAGTAATGTAGACTCTTGATTAATACGCCCCCTATACGAAGAGGATTTTCACGAAAGGTAGCTTCAGCTACCTGAGTTCAATTAGCTTTAGCTACAGGCGGCTACAGGGCAGGATCCTCCCACACGCCATGACTTTGGGCTCTAGTGGATCAACTCCACCCTGCAACGGGTGAATTGTCCTTCAATTGTACTGGTACCGTGGCTTCGTGTGATTGGATTCGTATCAAACTTCTCCTCCCTCGTCATTTGGCTACTGCTGCTGCTGCTGCTTTGGTGTGATTGGATTCGCATGGAGCTTCGCCTCCGTGCCCATTTTGCTTCTTTTCTATATAGTTTCTTATTGTTTCTACTAGCTTCTTGTTACTACTAGTAAGGCACTTGTTACTAGAAGCGATGCACTTGTTCCTAGTAGCTTCTTTTCTATTGGTGATGCAGCTTTGCTGTGATTGGGTTCCTATTAAGCTTCTCAGCTGCTGCTGCTGCTGCTGCTGCTGTTGCTGCTACTGCTGCGCTAATGCTGCTGGTAATGTTGCTCTGCTGCTGCTGCTTTGCTGCTGCTGCTTTGCTGCCTGCTGCTGCTCTTCAAATCCCACGGATCTCTCTCTCTTCTTCTCTGTTTTCTCTCTCTCTCTCTCTTCTCTCTCTCTCCCCCTCTCTTCTCTCTCCTCTTTGAAAGTTGAACTTAATGACCTACCTTTCGTCCACCCCCTCCCACTCAAGTCAATTAAAAACCGGGGGGTTATTAATTAAGAGTCTACATTAGGTTGGACGCCATCGCCAGTAGGGCTCCTAGGTTGGTGTTCTTTTTCCCCCACCTGCCAGGTGAGGGTTGTTAGATTTTATCAGAGCTCTTCTCCTCTTCTTCTCTTTTTCTTCTCTTCTCTTCTCTTCTCTTCTCTTCTCTTCTCTTCTCTTCTCTTCTCTTCTCTTCTCTTCTCTTCTCTTCTCTTCTCTTCTCTTCTCTTCTCTTCTCTTCTCTCCGCTCGATCGCAGTGGGCTATACTGCTATACTATACCTCAACTGCAAGTGCATGATCACAGTGGGCACTACCGGACCACAACAGCCATCTCCAGATCGCAGTGGGCACCGCCGGACCTCGCCAGATAGAGTGTCTTAACCTATGCCAGATAGAAGGTCAGAATATATGGAGCGTCAGAATGTACGCCAGATAGAGTGCCAGAGTATTTGCCAAGTGGAGTGCCAGAATGTATGCCGGATTTAATGCCGGCAATGTTCGCAGCCTTTATGATAGATGATGTGTCAGAGCACAAATCAGGCTTGGTGCCAGAACAAGCGTCAGAACATCGTGTCAATCCACACAAGTCGCCTTTCAGGGTGGGGACCACTCGAAGTAAAATATCTTTTCTTCGGTCATCCCGAACTTTGACAGGGCCAGTTAGACCGAAGAAGACTCAACGCCCTCAAAAACGCACCGTGACGTGGAATCGGCGCTTCTTTTTGGACGGCCTTCTTCCATTTTGAGTCGATCCTACTGTAGTGGATCCTTGTACCTGGAGGTCGTCCAATGACTTCGCCCACTGTCGTCCAGAGCCTTTGCTCCACGTTCCCAGCGACTGTCGGGACTGATGTATGGATCCTTGGGGTGAGCAAACTCGCCCCTGACCGGGCAGGAGCGCTGCTTCTGGGACAATTTGGACCATCCCGGGATGTAAAGTGGCCTGGTCTTCTTTTCAATGCCCTGCGCTCCTGGTCGTGAAGTCCAAACAACCAAGAACAAGTGAATCTACCTACTCACTTCCACATCCTGGGAAAAGTTCACCTTGCCATGTTGTTTTTTACTTGCTTTTAAATTATACCAGCACAGACCCCAAACAAACGATTCGATTGGACCTATTAGTCAAAAATGGTTTCTTGGTACGCCCTACCAACCCTCCAAGAGCAAACTGCTTTATCAATAACTTTTGTCGGCATCGACATCGCTAATTGTTCGGCCACAAGAGAAGAAAAGAGAAGAGCAGGTCAAGAGGAGGACAAGACCTGGTCACACAGCCCGGCCACAGAGTTCAGGGGCGGCCAGTCAGTGTGTCCAGGGCTGGTCAGCGCGGCCAGAGGACAAGAGAAGGACAAGAGGACAAGACCTGGCCACAGAGTTGAGGGGCGCGGCCAGTCAGTGTGGCCAGCTCAGCTCTCTATTCTAAGATAGACAAGGAAATATCCAATTAAATGACAAAGTCAATCTTGACATACAAAACTGTTCTAACTGTTCTTCATCAAAATGTAAGTTCCTCCAACGCTCTGCGTCCATTCGCAGGAGGCGACATGGCGACATCCGCCGCTTCTTGGCCGAGTTGTGAAACGAATCGGCTCGTCTCCGCTGAACCGAGGGGTCAAAAAGGGCACCCGTCTTCCGC